CCTGACTTCAAAATATACTACAAAGCTATAGTAATCAAAACAGCATGGTACTGGCACAAAAACACACACACAGATCAATGGAACAGAATTGAAAGTCCAAAAATAAAACCACACATCTATGGACAGTTAATCTTTGACAAAGGGGCCAAGAACATACAGTGGAGAAAAGAAAGTCTCTTCAATAAGTGGTGTTGGGAAAACTGAACAGCCACATGCACAAGAATGAAAGTAGACCATTATCTTACACCATATACAAAAATTAACTCAAAATGGATTAAAGACTTGAATATAAGACCTGAAACCATAAAACTCCTGGAAGAAAATACAGGTAGTACATTATGTGACATTGACCTTAGCAGCATCTTTTCAAATAACATGTCTGACTGGGCAAGGGAAACAAAAGAAAAAGGTAACAAATGGGACTACATCAGACTAAAAAGCTTCTGCAAAGCAAAGGAAACCATGAACAAAATTAAAAGACAACCTGGGCTGGCCCCGTGGCTTAGCGGTTAAGTGCGCGCGCTCCGCTACTGGCGGCCCGGGGTTCAGATCCCGGGTGCGCACCGACGCACCGCTTCTCTGGCCATGCTGAGGCCACGTCCCACATACAGCAACTAGAAGGATGTGCAACTATGACATACAACTATATACTGGGGCTTTGGGTAAAAAAAAAAGGGGAAAAAAGGAGGAGGATTGGCGATAGATGTTAGCTCAGAGCCAGTCTTCCTCAGCAAAAAGAGGAGGATTAGCACGGATGTTAGCTCAGGGCTGATCTTCCTCACAAAAATAAATAAATAAATAAATAAATAAATAAATAAATAAATAAATAAATAAATAAAAGACAACCCACCAACTGGGACAAAATATTTGCAAATCACCTATCTGATAAGGGGTTGATCTCCAAAATATATAAAGAACTCATTCAACTCAATGACAAAAAAACAAACAACTCAATCAAAAAATGGCAGAGGATATGAACAGACATTTTTCCAAAGAAGATATACAGATGACCAACAGGCACATGAAAAGATGTTCAACATCACTAATTATTAGGGAAATGCAAATCAAAATAACAATGAGATAGCACCTTACACCTGTCAGAATGGCTATAATTACCAAGACAAAAAACAACAAATGTTGGAGAGGATGTGGAGAAAAGCGAACCCTTATGCACTGCTGGTGAGAATGCAAACTGGTGCAGCCACTATGGAAAACAGTATGGAGATTTCTCAAAAAATTAAAAATAGAAATACCATACTATCCAGCTATCCTACTACTGGGCATTTATCCAAAGAACTTGAAATCAATGATCCAAAGAGATCTATGCACCCCTATGTTCATTGCAGCATTATTCACAATAGCCAAGACATGGAAGCAACCCAAGTGCCCATAAATTGATGAATGGATAAAGAAGATGTGGTATATATATATAATGGAATACTACTCAGCCATAAATAAAGACAAAATAGTCCCATTTGCAACAACATGGATGGACCTTGAGGGTATGATGTTAAGTGAAATAAACCAGACAGAGAAGGACAAATACTGCATGATTTCACTTATATGTGGAGTATAACAAATACATGGATAAAGAGAACAGATTTGTGGTTACTAGAGGGAAAGGGGGGTGGAGGGTGGGTGAAAGGGGTAAAGAGACACTTATGTGTGGTGATAGACAATAATTAGACTACTTGGGATGATCACAATGAAGTCTACTCAGAAAAGAGTAAACAATAATGTACACCCGAATTTTCACAATGTTATAAACCATTACTATCTCAGTAAAGTTACTGGGGGAAAAAAAAATCCATTTAAATGTGGTGAGGAAAAAAAATTATAAAATTTTATAATAAATATATAAATACTTAAAATTATAAAACATATAATTATAATATATAATATATTATATACAATGCACATGTAAATATATATGATTTTTTATGATATGTATATCATGACATACTGATAAGAAATGTTATATATAATTCTGTGTGGATTTTCTGTTCTTTTCCACTGAACTCTCCATTTCTTTTATCAGTTTCACTTCATTTTAATTACTATAAGTTATATTTTAATATCTAGAGGTTTAAGTCCATTTTGTTATAATTTTCTTTCTTTGTTCAAACTTTCCTTAATTAGTCACCTCCATTTATTTTTCCAAATAAACTTTGAAATCATTTTTTGTCATGTTTGTTATTGCAGAGAAGTTTGAGGCTAACATGAATTTTACTCTATGTTTGGTTAGCCTGTTTATTTTCTCTTTCGTGTTCTGGCAGGATGCTTCTGGAGTCACGTTTTATCCTTGATATTTGAGCTTTTACCAAAAATGTGTCAATGTGGGCTTCTGCATTAATTTGCCAGTATTTGGGGAATACTTTTGATCAGAAAGACTAAAGGCTGTCTTCAACCTGTGAGAATTTTCTTTAAATATAGCTTTGAATTCTTATTTCTTTCTGTTTGTCAATCTCTGTTTCAGGAATCTGCTTGTTAGATCTCCATCCTGAGTTCTGCGCATCTATTATCTCCTTTCTCATTGTTTTTTAATCCTTTTTTTCCCTCTGCAAAATGATGTCTCAAGTTTGTCCTCCACGTTGCATATCCGTTTTCTCTAGGATTATTTCTGTCATTTACTAAGTCTAATGAGTATTTCAACTGTTATTACAATTTTAGTTCCCTTGTAATCTTTTCTGGTATCATTTAATTTACCTGA